GCTGGAGCCGCGGACGCACAGCCCGGGGCGGGCGGCGGCAGCGGGAACCGACACGAAACGGGGCTCGACACCCACTCGGAAACAGCCGCAGGTGCCTCAGAGGCTGGGAGAAGAAATCGCGCAGCGCGCGCCGGCGGCCATCACTCTAGCGAGCACGCCGCCGGGCCCCTATTTATAGCCCGCCCCGCACCCCACGTGACCTGCGGGGGGGGACTCGCGCCGCGCCCGAAGCCCCGCCCCCGACGTGACGCAGCCACAGGCTGGTCGGGCGCGCCCAGCCGGGTGAGCTGAGCGAGGGCTCTGATTGGTCCGGACGCTCCCTCTAGGCCCCGCCCCCAAGGGGGAGCCGGTCCACGTGGGCCTGGCCGGCCTCCTCCCTGCAGCCTCGCCCCGGTTATCCTGTCTGTGCCGGCTACGCCGGGTGGTAGCGGGCGGGGGGCTGCGGGGGAGTCTCGCCCAGGCCCGCAGGTCGCCACACCGGGACTCAGAGGCCGCAGCCAAGGTCGTTCCGAGTTCCTCCCACGCGGGCCGGGGTCAGCTGTGTGGCGACGCCGAAGAGCGCGTGTGCTGGGGACTTGCCCTTGGCCGGACCCGGTCGGTCCCTTGGCCTCACGTGGCCGCCTCCCTCCCGCAGTCACGCTCTTGGGTGAAAACGGAAAGATTCGGGAGTCACGAGGACGGGCTTGCGTCCCCGGTTGTGGCGCTGCGCTGAGGGAGAGCCGTGGGTCATCGGTGACTCCGCGGCGGACCTGCGGTGTCGGAGCCCCGGCTGTGGCGCAGCGGGGAGGATGTTGCGTCGGATTCGAATTCTGACTCTCCGATTGCTGCAGTGTGTGTCACCTTGAACAAAACCCCTAGGTCTCTCAGACCAAGTGCTCAAGAACGTGCAATACTAGCAGTATGAGAGGAGACCCGTGGACGGGTTAGGATTGTGTAAAGCACAGCAAAGATGCATTTCCTGTCTGCTGCTCATCGGGGCTTGTGGCGACAGGCAGTACTAATTCAGGTATTCTGGTTACAAGTTCTTACCCAGTAAGAATCATATGAGCTCAGATATAAGCATGTGACTGGAACTCAATAGGTCTTGGGGAAATGTTCATTTCCTGGTTACTTTTTCCGGAGTGGTGCCTGTTGTAGAGTGTAGGAAAAGGTAGGAAATGTTGGGAAATGTGCCTGTTTTAAAATGTAGGAGAGGATGTCCTTTTCGCATCCTGGAAGTTTTCCCATCCTTTTGAAATAAAGATTGCTTTCTGTTCCCCTACGTGGTATACGGTGTAGTTTTGCCATGAGGTGAGTTATGCGCATTTGGCTTTTCATTTTATTGCCTGAGAGATTTAAGTTATGAGAGTTATAGTGATAGTTAAGTAATACCTGGTTTAGAACGCCCTAAAACTCCCTGCAGTTTTATCATCTCCAAAGGTAGGGCGCTGAATAGCAGAAACAAAGGTGTTGTAAATTAAAACGTCATCTGAGTGCCCTCTGACCTATCGGGTAGAGTCGGAATCGTATAGTTTATACAGGTCTATTGACCCCAAGGTCATGGCTGGAGAACAAAGGTCGTGTTCCAGGACACTGACCCTGGAGTGTAATTCTGGCATCTTCAAATGCAACACTCTCTGCCCTTCCTTCATTCCAAGGTTATAAAACATTGAATAAAGGACTGGTGTGTTGAAGGCTGTTAGTGTTCTGCCAATTAAAACAATTTTTAAAGTAATTATTTGTGAGGAAATTGCTCATGACTTTCCCCAGTGTGTTTGATGCGTTTTGCTTCAGTCTGCTTTTGCCTCTTGAAATTGAGACAACCAAGGCGAGGCAGCCATGGTGAATAAGGTGCACTAGGGGACAGGAGCAGAATCCTGAGGCGGAGTTGTAAGACGTGGAGGAGTGACTGGTTCCAATAGAGGGTGCAGTATTCTGACTCGTGGCCTTATGTGGGTTGGTACCACTGTATTTTCAAGCAGAGACAAGTTTCTCTGTCTCTGGAGAGAAGTTAGTGTTTTGAAATAGGAAAAAAAGGGGGGGGGAGATCATGAAATGGTTGGGTTTTTTGGAGGTTTTTTTTTTTTTTTTTGCCTTAGTTTGAGTTTTTTGTTTTGGTTTAGTTTTTTGGGGTTTTGTTGTTGTTGTTGTTGTTTGAGACAAGGTCTCATTGTGTTGCTCTGGCTCTCCTGGAACTCACTATGTAGACCAGTCTGGCCTTGAACTCACAGAGATTCCCCTGCCTCTACCTCGTGAGTGCTGGGATCAAAGGCATGCACCATCACACCTGGCTATTAGTTTTAATATTCAGTTTGATACGACCTAGAAAAACCTGGGAAGAGAGTCTTGGTGAAGGGTTCTCCAGATCAGGTTGGCCTGTGGGCTTGTCTATAGAGGACTGTCTTAACTGATGTGGAAAACCAAAGCCACACCATACCAAAAAGGAAGTTGGGGGAAGGGATTTATTGGGCTTACACTTTCATATCCCTGTTCAACACTGAAGGAAGTCAGGGCAGGAACTCAAACAGGACAGGAACCTGGAGGCAGGAGCTGATGCAGAGGCCATGGAGGGGTGCTGCTTTCTGGCTTGCTCCTCATGGCTTGCTCAGCCTGTTTCTTAGAGAACCCAGGACCACCAACCCAGGAATGGCACTGCCCACAATGAGCTAGGACCTCCCCATCAATCACCAACTGAGGGAATGTCCTACAGACTTGTCTACAGCCTAATCTTATGAAGGCATTTTCTCAACTGGGGTTCCCTCCTCTCAGATAACCCTAGCCTGTGTCAAGTTGACATAAAATTAGCCAGCATATCTGGTTTGGGTTCCTGGACTAGACAGGAGTGGAGGAGGGGCTGGAGAGTTGGCTCAGATGTTAAGAGCACTTGTTTTCCAAGAGGGTCCCAGCTTGATTCCCACCATCCACACAGGGGCCCACAATTGTCCCTAACTCCAGTTCCAGGGGATCTGACACCCTCTTCTGACCTCTGCATGCCCTAGGCATACACGTGGTACACAGCCATATCATTCAGGCAAACCCTCATACACATCAAATAAAAGGAGATGTTAAGGGGAGAAAGCTAGCCTAGCACTAAGCATGCACACATTTACGTGGCGGTAATGTGACTAGTTGTCCCAAGCTCCCATCGCCTTGACATTCCCCCGCAGTGATGGTTGTAACCTGGCATTATAAGCTAAAAGAAACCCTTGCTTCCCTGAGTTGCTTCCTGTCAGAGTGTTTTCTTACAGCATAAGAGTGAAACTAGAAGAGCGGATGAGGAACCCTAGCCACTACACAGATAGCATTGGTTCCAGCGTTCTCTCAATGCTGAGGAAAGTAATTAGAAGGGAGGCCGTGGTACACACCTGCTCTTGGGTCTTAGGAAGCCTATTAGTAAGTAGTTGAACACAGTCTGAAGCCAGACTGCTTACTCTGCGGTCCACTAGTCTCGTGACCCAGGGCAAACACATCCTTTACCTGGTTACCTCAGCTTTAAAGAGAATGAAGGGTCCCTCCTTCACAGGGAGGAGGAGGTGATCAGACTGTGTAAGGCTACTCTAAAGGGCAGCTAGCGTACCTAAACACCCTTTTTCTTCATTCAACAACTAGCTGCAATCAGAGTCCCCCACCACCTTCTTCTCTCCAGCCCTCAGGGCCAAGTTCTTCCAGACTTCTTGCTGCGGAAGAGAGGCCCAGCACGTCAGCTGCTGCCAGAGGAGTAGGGCAGCATGTGATACACAGTATGGGAACATCCAGGCCTGAACTCCAATGCCTCCGAGGGTGGTTGTTTTTTTAATATTTATTTTATTTCAAAATATGTATACGTGGGTGGGTATGTGCATCTGAATGCGGGAACCTAGAGGCACAAAATACCCCTAGAACTGAAGTTACAGGCGGTTGTGAGCTGCCCGGTGGAGGGGCTAGGAATCAGATTCAGGTCATTTACAAGAATGGTATGAACTCAACCACTGAACCATCCCTCCAGCCCCTAATAATACTTTTGTTTTATTTATTTATGCATTTACTTACTTGCTGTTGTGGCATAATCTTTTTGTACATTATAAAGATGTCTTAAAAAACAAATAAATAAATAAATAAATAAATACATAAATAAAACTAAATTAAATAAATAAATAAAGATGTCTTTGCCAAGGTGCCTTCTGATTGGTTTAATAAAGAGCTGAATGGTCAATGGCTAGGCAAGAAGAGGTTAGGTGGGACTTCTGGGAAGAGAGAGAGGGGGGAGAGAGAGAGGAGAGAGAAAGAGAGAGAGGAAAAGAGGAGATGAATCTAGGTATCTAGGTGCAGGAGAGACACCAAAGGACACAGGAGATGCAAGATGGAAGAAAGGTTAAAAAAAAAAACACAAAGCAAAACATAGATTAATATAAATGGTTTAATTTAAGTTATAAGAGCTAGTTATACAAGCCAAAGCTATAGGCCGAGCTTTCATAATTAATAAGT